AATATGAAGCGAAATATGAAGCGAAATATGAAGCGAAATATGAAGCGAAATATGAAGCGAAATATGAAGCGAAATATAAAGTGATATATGAAGCAAAATATGAAGCAAAATATGAAGTGATATATGAAGCGAAATATGAAGTGAAATATAAAGTAAAATATGAAGTGATATATGAAGTGAAATATGAAGCAAAATATGAAGTGAAATATGGAAGCGAAATATGAAGCGAAATATAAAGCGAAATATAAAGCGAAATATACTGAAGCGAAATATGTAGCGAAATATGATAAAGAATCGAATTAGCCTTTAAAATAATGATAATTACTATTAGTATAGCGATAGTATCACAATAGTTTATTTAATTAATCGATGATATCATTAATAATTGCTGAATTGTTGGATCGTTTGGTTTGATTTCCGGGCAACCACATAATCATCTGGAGCACAACCTGGTACACATTGCTATTTTTTATGATGACACAAAATAGAATTATTTGGAACTAAGTTTTTAAAGTATAATGATAGTTATAGTATACTATCATTATCATTATACTCTTTTTTTATATGATGATGCAAATTAGAATTATTTGCAATTACTAATTTTTTAAAGTATAGTGATAGTGATAGTATATTATCACTATCATTATACTCTTAATTGCAAACAATTTCTAATTTGCATCATATAAAAAAATAATTAGGATTACAAAGTTTTGCAAAAACTAATAAAAAGAGAATTTTAAATATTGTTTTTATTGTTTTATCATAATGGAACATTTAAAAAAATTCGCTTCTAAGTTAGTTTTTTATGATGAACCAGAAAAAATTCCTGCAGAATTTCGAAGTATTGATGTTTGTAGAATTTGTAATAAAGAAATTTCGCTACAAATGAATGAGCCAATTATTATATGGACGTGCAAACATATATTTCATTGGGGATGTATGATTGATCGTGATCAGTGTTCTTGTAAAGATGAAATTGATGTGCTAGCTCAATATAATAATTCTGAAGTAACTTCACTAGTGAATCTTGAAACAACATTATCATCGAATCTTGAAGCAACATTATCATCGAATCTTGAAGCAACATCATCATCAAATCTTGAAGCAGCAGCATCATCGAATCTTGAAAGAACATCGTCAGCAAATAAAAACATCAAAAAGGCAAGTACATATAAGTATAAACTAATGTTTAGGGATATTATTTTGAATTTTGACCAGAATTAAACTTAATTTTAACCAAAATTAAAATAATATCCCTGGTGCGTATTATTTTATACTTATTGTTATATAGTTAGTCTAAATTTGTAATCTATTAAATTTTAATTTAGAGGCAAGTACAAAGGTCTACAAAACAAGTATCAAAAAGTCCAAAACCTGCTAAAGTTATTCGTAAAAATCATAAAAAAATACCAATTACTGAATTTGTCGAGAGTTTAACTGCAGTCACACCTGATCCTGATGACAGTCTGATCTCTATAAATATTATGGAAGGTGATACTGAAAATTCTGTTGGAAAAAATTTAGCCATTCTGTTCAAGGATGCATGTGAAGCTGAAAAACAAGTAACATGAAATAAACAACAAGAAATATTAAACTGGTATTATTTTGCCGAGGAAGGGTAAATGAGTTAATTGCAAGTGGTATTGCAAATAACCCAGCAAGAAACCAAATTTACAAGGAAATATTAACATTCATTTCAGGAATTACTGAAAACAATTTAAAACAAAAAAAACACAAAGCAAGAGTAATTTTTTTATTGTTTAGTCAAATTGGGGTTGAGAAAATTCGACAAATAAAGTATAGTGTAGATTCTATCTCTTATTATACTAGCAATGAAATTTAATCAATTATTGAAAGTGTTAAACGTAGTAGTAAATAGTAAGTTCAAAATCTTAGATTTATTATACAATATAATACAGCATAACTAATATCATAGGAAGAAGTTCGTCTGATTGGCTGATGTAAATCAATTGCCCGGGTAACTTATTTATATGTTTTAAAGTA